AGTTAAGACTTATTTAAGGAATATTTGATTACTACAAGGTCGACCTGGTTTGTCTGAGCCATCCTGGTTTTTGTTTGTCTCGGCCTATTATTAACAGTGCCTCCTTTCACATTAAAAGTACCTTGATTTGTTCAATAAATTATACAGTCATCCTAGCATAACAGTGTGTTTAAAAACTTGTTTTTGTAACTTAAACTACTTATATCATTTATAAACTGTATAAGTTTTTAAACTAGATGTTTTATGTTGTCCTTTTTTTTTTTTTGAGAGAGTCTTGCTCTGTCACCAGGCTGGAATGCAGTGGCACAATCTCGGCTCACTACAACCTCTCCCTCCCAGGTTCAAGGGATCTCCTGTCTCAGCCTCCCGAGTAGCTGGGACTACAGGCGCACGCCACCATGTCTGGCTAATTGTTGCATTTTTAGTAGAGATGGGGTTTCACCATGTTGCCCAGGCTGGTCTCAAACACCTGACCACATGATCCACCCGCCTTGGACTCCCAAAGTGCTGGGATTATGGGAATGAGCCACCACGCCTAGCTATATTGTCCTTTTAATTCTAAAAATAGTCTCTACAACTCATACAAATTAAAAAGAAAAATTATTATGCTAATTAAGTTAGAATCTTAAACATGGCAGTATAAGTACTTCTGAATTGTAGGTGTATTTTAGGATCCTAAAGAGAATTATAAGGAGGGGAAAAAAAAGCTATATGAATTAATAAGGGTATTAGGATAGCCAGATAGAAATGAAATATATAAAAGTCAATGTCTTCCTTTATATTAAAAAATAGCCAGTCAGAAAATATAAAGAAAAAAATATTTTAATCAGAAAAAACATATAATCAATTTATCCATAAATAATCCAATGGAATGAGACAAGCACTAAAGTAAAGCAATCTATTTTTCTGGTCTTATTTCATACCTTATTTATTTCCTATGCTCTGTTAAGTAAAATACTACTTTAAAGAATCATCTTAGGCAGGGGCTATGAGGAATTAAGGATGTCTATTCATGAACAATGTTTTTTTAAGTTCATTATAAAGAATGCTCTTCATGAAGAGAAAAAGTTGCAAAGGGCCACAAAAACATAGTCTCACAGATGAAGATGAAGAGGAAAGTACTTTATTTAAAAAATTTAATTGCACTCTTCTACAAGTTATTTTTCAAGGGTAATAATAATAATAATATAGGTACTTTTTCTGCTTAGATCTAGTTTTTAACATAAAAGATAAACTATAATGAACTATAATAAATCTTTTATGAGCAGTCATAAGAGAAAGAGATGCTCTTCGGCATGTTTACGGAAGTGCAGCAGGTAGAGATTAAATTTACATCTATTTTTTCCATTGTCGGAAAAATCTCAATTTATTTTTCTGGAGGAAGAATAAAAATCTGAAGCTAGTGACTAAAAGAATGTGCTTATGAATATTAAGTTATTACATTTCTATCCTCTATTTTTAGAACACATTTATAGTATCGATTAGTAATACATAACAATGTGTTAAAATGACATTGTATGAGGTAAAGCTTAATGATTTTATTAATAAGCATGGTGATTTCACATTATGACTTTTTTGCCTAAAAAGTAACATTGTTTTACTTGGAAAGAGCAATTTTACATTTTGCTATTGTGTTTATATTACATATTAAAGTATTTTATATTATAATTTAATAATGATATAATTTTATATATAGGCAAGAGGAAGCTACATATATTTGAAAACTACTTCATAAACAGTAGTTAATGGTTTCCAAATAATCATTTTTTCATTAATACAATTTAAGTAAGCAATTTGTTTTCTAGCTAAACTAGTCTTCAAATCTAATTCCAATATTGAACTTTTTTACACATTCAGCTTGTCAAAATCACGTTGTTAAAAACAAACCTAAAAATGTAACCTGTAGATTGATTTCAAAAATGCCACCGATTTTTTGCTCTTCCTTGTATTCACACCTCTTACAGTGCGACTCACATTAAGAAGTAGAACATAGTTGCCCACCTTTCAAATGTGGGTTGGCCTTACTTATGACTTGCTTTGGCCAGTATCTTGCGGTGGAGGTAAAAGTGCATCAGTTCCAAGCCTAGATGTTAAGAGGTCTGCTTGCATGCTTTCTTTCTCTCTCTTTGGACCCATGCCTTGTCCATGAGAATAAGCTGCAGGATGAGCGACTGTAAAACAGAGCTGAGTCTGCCCAGTTGAGGCCACTCTGCATCCAGCTAGCGCCCAGCCAATCTGCCATCTGACTGTGCATTCATGAGTGAACCTAGCAAAGATGAGCCAAGCCAGCCCAGATCAGTAGAACCATTCAGATGATCCACAGACTTAGTCTGTGGCAATAATTTATGCCACAATAATGCTGTTATGGACTGATGAAATATGCTATCTTACACTAACCTGGAATAATTTAGACAATGTACCTAAGAAACTTTTGGACTTAGCAAATTAACTTCCAAGCAGAATACTAAAAATGCCAACTGGTTCCTCCTAGCTAAGTATAATAAGGTTCTACAAGATAGGGATGAACTAAAGAAAGAGCTAGGCATTTTGTAAGCAGAATCAAGAAGGAATACAGAGCAAACTAGAACTTGCTGGGTTGGAAAATAAAACTGTTTCATCTGCAGTCTCCTAAAAATAAAACAAAGCCCATGGACAAAGATCAACTCAAGGATGTAGCTGTAGCTTCCCTTCTTAAGATCACTAAAAGAATTAAAAGATGTAAGCAGACATTCTCAGCATGACAAAGGGATTTTTAGAAAGTTTATGAGCATGATCCCACAGAATTCTAATCCCCAAGTGACAGTGATTGGTAGATATGCTATCTAGAGAGCAAGCAAGTCTCAAAAACAACTGTGGTTGTGGGCTTTAAAGCATGGGATGGACTTATCAGCCATACAGAAAGTCCACAAAGTTTTTTAAGTGAAATGTACTGGCCAAAAAGCCACCAGTCTGACTCGTGACTTCACATTGTAACTGGCTTGGCCAACGAAATGCAGTGGAGGTAACAGTGTGTCAATTTAAGGAGACCTGCATCTTCTGCTTGCTTGCTTGCTTTCTTATTGATTTATTTTATTAATTTTATTTATTTATTTATTTACTCACTTACTTACTTACTTACTTGAAACAGAGTCTCACTCTGTCACCCAGGCTGGAGTACAGTGGCACCTTGTCGGCTGACTGCAACCTCCGTCTCCTGGGTTCAAGCAATTCTCCTGCCTCAGCCTCCTGAGTATCTGAAATTACAGGCATGCACCACTATGCCCGGCTAATTTTTATGTAGAGACAGGGTTTCACCATGTTGGCCAGATTGGTCTTGAACTCCTGACCTCAAATGATCCACCTGCTTCAGCCTCCCAAAGTGCTGGGATTACAAACATAAGCCACCATGCTCAGCCTTCTGCTCTTTCTTAGACTCTTGCCTCCACTATGAGAACAAGTCTGGGCTGGCCTGCTAAGGGATGAGAGACCATATAGAGCAGACCACCGCACAGTTGTTTTTATTTTTCAAGAAGATGGCAAAGTCAAGCCAAAAAAAGGAAAATCTCTCTTACTCTATTCCTTGTGTTAAGTCCACTCCCACCACTCTGTATAGATCTTCAGATTTATATCTGGAGTTACTCTCAAGTGCTTCTAAATTGTTTCACAGGCTTCTATTTCTTCTACACAACCATCAGTCTAATGTATCATAATCTTCATCATGGTAGTAAGTGCTTATTGAAATAACAGTGATAAAATTTTATCCTTACTTAGAAATTACTGATGGTTACCCAAATCCCTAGTGTCGACTCCTCTCTAGACATTAAAGCCCTTCACAAATATAACATGGCCTTTCTTTACCTTTCTTCTGTAATTCTCCTAGAAAATATCCAATTTCCTAAATATTCTTTTAAAATTTTTAATTAATTAATTAATTTTTTTTAGATAAAGTCTCACTCTGTTGCCCAGGCTAGAGTGCACTGGCACGATCTCAACTCACTGCAACCTCTACCTCCTGGGTTCACGTGATTCTCCTGCCTCAGCCTCCTCAGTAGCTGGGATTACAGGTATGCATCACCACGCCCAGCTAATTTTTGCATTTTTAGTAGAGATGGGGTTTCACCAAGTTGGCCAGGCTGGTCTCGAACTCCAGACCTCAGGTGATCCATGTGCCTCAGCCTCCCAAAGTGCTGGGATTACAGGTGTGAGCCATCATACCCAGCCCCTGAATATTCTTAAAAATAACATGTCCATTTCTATTTCCAAACTTGATTCATGCAGCTGTATTGAATTTTGCTGTTCTCTTCTACAATAATGATATCTTTCACTTTATCCTTTATCTAGCCAAGTCTTAGCCACACTCTGATCTTATCCCTCTTTAATGGCTTTTCTATCATACCAAACCAGAAAGATGTCTTTCTGTTGATTCCTAGAGTACCTCCTATACAGACTTACTGATCTTAGCAAAAAGGCCAAGAAGTTATAAAATTGCTTTATAAGTGCTACTGATAAAGATGATTGTTATAGTGTTTTCATGAAATAGTGAAAAGATGAAAACAACTGAAATACCCAACACTGGGTGACTTTTAAAATTGTAACATCACAGTGTAATAGTTAATAATTAATAAATGATATTTATTGAAATAGAAAAATCAAGTGAAATCAGCTTCATCATGTATGCTTTGTATTTCTATTTAGCTGTTTTGTATGTATGTCTCATTTTTTCCCATTATATTATAAGCTTTTAAAAAGCAAAAATTAGATCTTATACATTTACATTAAAGTCCTCTCAAGGCTCACTACAAATTCATAAACATAGGTTCAGTATATCCAGCATTATCATTAAATTCATGTAAAAAAATTCCCTAATACCTATTTAAAAAATAAAATTTATCTGAGAAAATAATTACTTGAATATAGCTCACTGTTTTCCTTATATATGCTGGAATAAACGTATGTAATTAAATTTAAACTGTACATCCTATCTTATACAAAATATATCATTTTCACAGCAAAATACATACCCTCTCTGAAACAAATCCACATTGTAGAACTTGTTTAGCTCCACAGAGAATTCTACCATTGCTTGAACTTCAGTCATTTTTAATTTATACCCAGAAGACTATTCTGATAACAGCACCTTTGTTAAGGAAAGGGAATAAAATCGTGAGAAGCATAACAAAAATGTCACCTTATAAAAATACTATTATTTAAGCATATTTTCGAATATAATACATAGGCAGAAAATAAAAACAAATTATTTTCGTGTACTTAACAACCTAACCCAACAAAATAACACCAGAATGTATACTAAGTTGTACTACTCTCTATAATTATGATTGTCCAATCAGAATGCTTTTTCTTTCTTTTTTTTGAGACGGAGTTTCGCTCTTATTACCCAGGCTGGAGTGCAATGGCGCGATCTCGGCTCACCGCAACCTCCGCCTCCTGGGTTCAGGCAATTCTCCTGTCTCAGCCTCCTGAGTAGCTAGGATTACAGGCACGCGCCACCATGCCCAACTGATTTTTTTTTTTTATTTTTAGTAGAGACGGGGTTTCACCATGTTGACCAGGATGGTCTCGATCTCTTGACCTCATGATCCACCCGCCTCAGCCTCCCAAAGTGCTGGGATTACGGGCGTGAGCAGAATGCTTTTTCTAAGATTTGTTTCCCTTGATGACATTTATGTAATAAATAATACAACATATTACTAATAGAAACTCAACTTTATCTCTTACAGATAGTAACTTTTTTTTTTAATGAAGATATCTAAGTATTCTCTTATGCTACATTGCACATAAAAGTAACTCGGCAGTCAAAAAGAATTAACACTCTTCAATCCCCAGTTAAGCCCATAAAAGGTTTTTCTTTATGTGAAGAAAAAATTCTTAAACCACTTTTCACTTTTAAATTTAAAAAGAGAAAGATGTTTTTCCCTTTATTACAAAAGCCTAAAGTATTTAATTGCAAAGAGGTTAAAAAAAATAGACAAGCACAAATAGAAAACATTCACAATTCCATCCACTGAAATACCTACTTTGATATGTTCTTCATGTGCACGCATTTGTACAATTTTTTAATAGTGGGATCAAACCACATGTACCTTATAACATCTCCTTATTTCACTTAATTTATTCAGTGAACATATATATCAATAAATGTAGTTTTACATTTTTATTTTTATTTATTTATTTTTTTGAGACGGAGTCTCGCTCTGTCACACAGGCTGGAGAGCAGTGGCAGGATCTTGGCTCACTGCAACCTCTGCCTCCTGGGTTTAAGCCATTCTCCTGCCTCAGCCTTCCAAGTAGCTGGGACTACAGACATGTGTCACCACACCCAGCTAATTTTTTATGTTTTTAGTAGAGTTCAAGCCCAGCCTTTGCCATGGTGGCCAGGCTGGTCTTGAATTCCTGGCCTCAAGTGATCTGCTTGCTTCAGCCTCCCTAAGGGCTGGGATTACAAGAGCCACCGCGCCCACCCATTAATTGTTAACTATTACACTGTGACCATGTTGTAATTTAAACAATCCCCCATTGTTGCATGATTTCAGTAGTTTCCATTTTTTCACTATTTAAAAACAAAATTATAACAATCATCCCTATCAAGAGCACATATTTTAAAAATAACTTCTTGGACTACTGAGTAAGATAAGTATAAAAAGCAACTTAGAGGAAGAAAATGTTGGAAGATAATTCATAAACCTCTCATGTTTCTGTATATCTCACAAGCAGAGATACAGACAACCTTTGTTCCAAACTATTTTTTCAAAGATGTTTATATAGTGAACAATCTTAGAAGTCAGATAGTGTCTTATACTAGAAAAAAGGGCAGATTTACTGTTCTGTATAATACAGCTAAAGCTTCCCTGTGGGAAAAAACTCAGGCAGGTTTATTGTCCTTTATAAAAGATTCAGGTTCCCCTACTTCAGGGTTCTTCTCCTGTAACATAACCTACTCAAATGCAGGTGCCACCTGGTACTCTAGCTAGTGCTATGAACATAAACCATCCTTGACCTTGATCCATGAATCTCATGTCCTGCCAACATCCATGCCACTGTAGCAGATTAACTTGTTAGCTTGCAAGTGGGGTAAAATCTCAGACCCTTCCCAATTCTTGCATCAGTTCTTCATAGAAATTTGGCAAATATTCTAATCTATTAAGAATTAAGTACGAAAAAAGTTATATTCTTACCTCTGCTGATCAAAGCCTCATTTTTAACATTATTAAATAACCAATCTTGTACTTCCAGTTACTGATTCCCGTTGTTAAAAATACACTGTTCCCCCTAGGAGAAAAAACAAGCAACTCTCAAAAAAAACAGTAGACATAAAAAAGTCTATCTTAAGGAAATTTGTGTTTTGTTACTTACTATTTTCAACTTATATAAAAGATACATGTCGTTGAAAGGCTTATGAATAAGTTTTAGAGATTTATTTTCATTCACAATTTCACTGATATCAACATTAACTATTATATCTCTATTAAGATTCACTTACATATAATTCAAAGTACAATAACAAATAGAGTGCTTTCTCAGTTGAGTAGGAACCCTCATGAATACCCTAAATATTATAAGGTCATTAATATTTAAGAGGTGGAACTCACCACTTTTAAAATAACTGCTTAAGTACTGAAATTTCATATATATGTATGTGTATATGTATGCATATATATATGTATGTATAAAGAACTATTTAAAATATTTTGACACAATGACTGCTTCAATGTGCTATGGATGGTTTTTCTCACATTTCAAATACTGCTTAAATTTTTTAAAAATCTAATTTTTCATCCTTGGTATAATTATTTTAGGTACTAAAAATGTTGAAATGAAGACTATGTTTACTCTTTGACACAGAGTTTTTCTTCTCTCCATCATAAACATGTAGACTTTACCAGCTCCCATAACTGCCATTTTAAGCCTTAATAATCACATCAAAAGATTTTATGGTAACTATTTCTAAGATCAAACAAAGCTATGTTTATATAAGATATTCCCCATTTTGTGGAAATAACATATTATCTAAAACAGCTTCTTCTGTACATATATTCTTGTGTGCAGGGTTTAGATTATGCCCTGGTTTTGATTCTAAGTAAAGTTTGGCCAAGTTTCTATGCTTTAACTTACTCAGATATAAAATGGGTATTCGTTCATTCAAACATTTACTAAAGACCTACTACAGGCTAAGAATTGCAGTAAGTATGAGGTATAGCTCAGGGAGAGGTACGAGGGGTGGGTGGGTGTGTGTGTGTGTGTGTGTGTGTGTTATACTTTAGGCATTATGCTAGTCATAGATACATAGATATAGATAGATAGACAGACAGACAGACAGACAGATGTATGAATAGCATAATGCTTAAAATATAGGCTTGGGATTTGGGTCCAGATAGCACCCATACTACCTAAGTCAGTAAACTGGCCTTTTCCTTAATATGGAAATTAGTATCAAAATTAAGATACAGCTATAACAAAATTCTAAAATATGTAGTACTAGCTTAGTAATTAGGTAGCAGGCAACAGGAAAACATCCTACTATGATACTAGTAACCACTGTTATGTGGAAATAAAACAATTAATTAAACTGTTGCCTACAATAACCTGCAGTAGAAAAAGTAGATGAAAAATGCCACAATACCAGGGGTTGGTGGTTCTTTGCTGTGTTTACTCAAGCAAGAACTGGATAGTTTGTAAGCAAAGACGGAAAGAAATAAGACAGCTTAAATGTGGGGCCTTGCAGCCAATACCTCACATCAGATTTAGTGCCTTGCTCAAAGAAATTCCTAACAAAACAAAGGGATCCAGCTCTGCAGTCGAGATTGGATTAAGGATGCTGCCATTCTACCAATGCTTGTTGTTGCGAATAGTTTTAAGATAGTGACCGTTAAAATGAGGGATGAGGATGTGCTTCATTAAAATGAGGCCATCAAAAGATGCTGGGTGCATAGACAGAAATAAGTAAGGCAGGTGTAAGTATCACATCCAGAAAACAACTTTGGTGTAGTTACTGGCACAGAGAAGTGAATGGAGACAAATATATAAGAATCCTATTAGGTTACTGACAGACTAGTATTTGTCAAATAAATTATAAGCTAGGGTGCAAAAGCCTTTGACTGTGTAACCTGCAAGCTGGCAAACCTGCAGTAGCAGGAAGCAGGCTATGAAAACTGCATAAAGTGGGCACGCTTTCAACACCAACTTCCAACGTGGCCATAGAGATTAATGTAAGGAAGAAACACTCAGATAGCAAAGACAGGGATCATAATGCAATGAATACTGGCATTCATTCTTACTAGAAAGCAGAACTAAGGATATTACTCTACTGTGAGGGTATGAGATCTTCATCATTCTCATGAAAAGAGTGTTTCTTATTGTTTATTTTCCCCAATGGGAGATTTTGTTACTATTTTCCTGTTTCTGATCCACCATAATGTAAATATCTCATTAATATATTTTTAAAATATTTATCACAACTTGAAATAATGTTTTGGATATATTGGGTTAAATTATCATTAAAATTAATTTTACCAGTTTATTTTTAATTTTTAAAATGTGGTTATTAGAAAAATTTAAACTACACACCTCACATATTTCTGCTGGATAGCATAGTCTAGGAATACTAAGCCATTCCTTTAACTGCTGGAGTATATAGTTAACTCCTTCAAAAACAGACTAGGTACATAAAACCATACAAAGTTTCTAAGACTACAGGGATGTTCACTCCCATCAGATCAGCTGAGTTACATTCAATATCCACAAAGGAGAGTCCAGGCATGGACATCTGGAAAAATGCGGGAGATGTTCCCACACCAACCACAGTGATCCTAAAACAAGAGCTAACTAACTACCTTGTACATAGTCAGAATTCATGAGTGCTTCAGAACCTAAAAGAGGAAATGGACACATCAGAAACAAAGAGTCACAGCTCAGAGGTCCCTCAAGATGGACTGGAGACCACAGGGGATGATCAGATTCTCTCACAGAAATCAAAGAATAGTCTTGACTCTTGAATTATGAACACACAGATGCCCTGAGAATGTTCTTTCTCCTAAGCGACAGGGTAAAGAAGTTGAACAAACTGGAGATTCCAGACACTCCCATTTGGTACTCTAAAGAATAAAGGTATTACTTCCATTATGGTGGCAACAACTCCAGTTTCTTTCTTTTTTTTTTTTTTTTTTGAGACGGAATTTCGCTCTTGTTACCCAGGCTGGAGTGCAATGGCGCGATCTTGGCTCACTGCAACCTCCACCTCCTGGGTTCAGGCAATTCTCCTGCCTCAGCCTCCTAAGTAGCTGGGATTACAGGCACGCGCCACCATGCCCAGCTAATTTTTTGTATTTTTAGTAAAGACGGGGTTGCACCATGTTGACCAGGATGGTCTCGATCTCTTGACCTCGTGATCCACCCACCTCAACCTCCCAAAGTGCCGGGATTACAGGCGTGAGCCACTGCGCCTGGCCCCGGCTCCAGTTTCTTAATTCCACTTCCAAGTTAGCATCCATGAAACAAATGGGTTCAAAGCCCATAATACTGACAGTCTGAATAATGACGCCCAAAAGATACCACGTAAGGCAAAAATCACTTACAGGCCAACTAAAAGTCCTTAAAAATTTCTTAGGCCTCGTGTTGGCAACTAATGTATCACTCTCATTAAGCAGAAAATATTCACTTTTTCCCCCAGCTTTAAGAAAAAATTGTATTTCTTCACCTGAACACCAGAGAATGTAGTAAACTTGGATTCAGGGGTCATATTGTACAAAAAATACACATACTTTGAAATGTTCATTCAATGTAATGAGAGCCTCACATTATGAGAGGCATATGAGAACTGATACCAAATGAAGGAACAGCAGATTCACACACAATTAGATGAGGGGCTCACCCTATAACAATATGTGGGAACTGAGACTGACATTCCAGATTTGAGACCAACCGAGGAAAAAACATGCAATGTGTATACTGTATAATTCAATTCAAGTTTGCTAAATAGAAATATGATGGGAACAGAGAGATGTTCTAAATCTAGAAGGAGGTTAATGCAGTACATTTAATACCAGGTAGTCTAATTTTGCATTTATTTTCTTGGGCCTTCTCTAAAGGAATAAGCAGGCTGCCCAAAACAGGAATACTCTTAGAAATTTTCAGAATGCTGTTCTCTTGTGAGTAACAAAAGATTTTTGTAATACTCATGTTCCGAGCCGGGCATGGTAGCTCATGCCTGTAATCTCAGCACTTTGGGAGGGCGAGGAGAGTGGATCGCCTGAGGTCAGGATTTCAAGACCAGCCTGGCCAACACGGTGAAACCCCGTCTCTACTAAAAATACAAAAAAAATTAGCTGGGCCTGATGGCGCACGCCTGTAATCCCAGCTATTTGGGGGACTGAGGTAGGAGAATCGCTTGAACCTGGGAGATGGTGGTTGCAGTGAGCTGAAATCACACCGCTGCATTCCGGCCTGGGCAATAAGAGTGAGACTTCATCTCAAAAAAAATAAAAAAATATCATGTTCTGCAGCAGACCCAGGAGAGTAGGAAGAGTTTCTTGGTGGAAGTTACACCCAGCTGCCATCTTTCCTAAATCCCAGTCACCTACAGAATTTCAATCAATATAAGCTCTGGCCCTAGTCTTTGAGCTAATCTTGACCAAGTCAGACCACACAGCAGTAAACTGCAAACAATCAGCCACTGACATGTGGATGAGTTTTGCATCCCTAAACCTTCTATCTGGTGTTAATTCTGGTCACCTGAGTTGGTAGGTCTGCATTGGTTTGGTTCAGTCTGAATATCTGAGTTACATTCTTATTTCTTGATTTACATTCAGTTTTCTTCTTGATTCGCTGAGGCCCTGACATCCTGCCCATATTTGTAAGCTCCCTCTGGCAGGGGCTAAACATGCTCAGTCACTGGATTATATCCCTGCTTTAAAAGGACCAAGCCAGGCCAGGTGCAGTGGCTCACGCCTGTAATCCCAGCACTTTGGGAGGCTGAGTGGGTAAATCACCTGGGGTCGGCAGTTTGAGACCAGCCTGGCCAATACAACAAAATCCTGTCTCCACTAAAAATACAAAAATTAGCTGTACTTGGTGGCACATGCCTGTAAACCCAGCTACTCATGAAGCTGAGGCAGAAGAATCACTTGAACCTGGGAGGTGGAGGTTGCAGTGAGCTGAGATCGCGCCATTGCACTCCAGCCTGGGTAACAGAGCAAGACTCCATCTCAAATAAATAAATACATAAAGAAAAGAAAAGAAAAATAAAATAAAATGAAATGACCAAGCCAGCTGTCACTTGCCTCACTCTGAAGATCATCATTACTCATGACCTTATCTTGCCCTAAAATCATATACAACTTTCATCACAAATATATATCATTTTAAAAAGTAATTCATAGCAAAGCTGAGCTTATCAGAGGCATTACAGTAAAAGACACACAAGGTAAGAAAAATCCCTTGTCTAGTAACTTTCATAGCCACTCCTCACTCATCAAAATGAACTCCTGAGGGCCAACCATATGCCATATTACATTGATTATAGAAATACTTAAGAAAACAATAGAACACTAAATTTTTCTCTTTGGTGGAAATGGTGAGAAAGGACATCTTCCAAAGGAAAGACAATAAGAATAACTTTTTAGAACATGAGACAAACTATGTTTTAATGTTTCTCTGTTGATGATACCAAATATAGTAAACCTGAGGGTGTTTTAAAAACCTGGGATTCTCAATTCCAAAACATAAAAGTAATGGTAAAGAACATAAAGGTTTCCACAGTCTTACATTTTTTATTGCCAATAAAGCCTGGCCTTGCTGCTTAGACATTTATAGATAGCAGCATTTTCAATGTAAGCCCACGAATTATTGGCAATCTGAAAACATCAAAGAGCAAGTGTCATAGTCACCACTGCTCTAAAAACAATCATGAATGAAACAGCTGCATCCTATAGGCAACTTCAAGGGCATTTCAATAAAGGAATACTTGTTCTAGTACAGGTTAAATTAAGACCTGCAGCAAAAGAACATTTCATAACACTTAAAAGAAATGTCCCAGACTATAGCCAGGCATACTGGTTCATGCCTGTAATCCCAGCACTTTGGGCGGCCGAGGTGGGCAAATCATTTGAGGCCAGGAGTTCGAGACCAGCCTGGTCAACATGGTGAGACCAGATGGGGTTTCTACCAAAAATTAAAAAATCGGCAAGGTGTGGTGGTCTGGGCCTGTAAGCCCAGCTACTTGGGAGGCTGAGGCATAAGAATTGCTTAAACCCAGGAGACAGAGGCTGCAGTAAGCTGAGATCGTGCCACTGCACTCCAGCCTGGGCAACACAGAGGGACTCTGTCTAAAAAAAAAAAGTCCCAGACTATTACCAATATATTCACAACATAATTTAGAAATATGTTCTATATTCTGGATGATCTGATAGAGACTTAATGCCATAAAAGGAAATATGCTATAATTTTCTCAGAATGGTTTCTTGGTTGAGAGATAGTTCATCAATTTTTTTCTCATCAAAATAAGAACTACCTAAAGGGTTAGTTACTCAAGTAGGAGATGTCTCTTAATGGTATAATGTGCCTGATACTTTTACATTTCTGTTAACAAAAAAGAGGCCAAGATTTATTTTAAATTTAGCATATCATCAATAACCAAGCATGTATCTATTAACAACTGCCAACCTTTAAAAATAAAATGTGAAACCTACTGTGGATTGTTTCACTTTATTCCTTCTGAAAAACCTAGACCTCCCTAATCACTTGTGCTTTGCAACTTGTCTGAAAAATCATTGAGTCCATTAAGAATGCTTTCTGCTATATCATCATCCTGCTTCTTATTGTCATTTCTTTCTTTCTTTTAATTAAGACAGGGTCTCGCTCCGTTGCCCAGGCTGGTCTTGAACTCCTGGCCTCAAGCAATCCTCCTGCCTCAGCCTCCCAAGTGCTAGGATTACAGGGATGGGACACGACACCCCGCCTTATTCCTAGTCATTTCTAAACCTTCTTCCTGACAAACAACTCATGAAAAAAACACTTCAAATCTATATGCCCTCATCTCCATCCATTTATTTAAATGCACACACGTACATATCAAAAAACTCACTGTTAAGTAGTTTTTCTTCAATACCCAGAATCAAAGCAAAGGAAATCCTTTGCCTTTTCTATCCCCTAAACAGCCCCCACAACAAGGATTTAATGTAAACAAAATAAAGTTTTATTTGATGTAAACAAAATAAAAATATAAAACAGAAAATTATGGTTGTAACTAAAGATATATATGCAACTCTTAAATTTCCTGTCAACTCACGGCAAACAAAGGGCATATCTGTTTTACATACTGAATGCTGCAGTGTCTGTTTCACTGTGTATGAACATTAGTTAATGTGCTAATTAGAAAACTCTAGTACATTAGAAATGTCTAGTAGAATGCTAGTCCACAGTTCACTAGCATTCTACTAGACTTTTCACAGAAGTCTGAAATTTAAAAAAGAAATCTGTTTGATCTGGGATTTAAGCAGTCAATTATACTCTTACTACATAGTCTAAAATTAAAGAGATAAAAACTAAGTATTTATACAGCAATTTTTGTCTTGGTGGCCCAAAGCATGTTTAAATGATTAGGGCTTGCTTTGCTATTGAGAGAGTATATTGGGAGGCCAACTTTATTATCCACACTTTGGAGACACTGAATACACAGGTTAAGTGGGTTTTACAAACTAATGTCATGAGTCATCATAAGAGCTCACATCTTCTGACTAGAAATTCTAGTCTTCTGCCTGCTGTCCACCACGAATCCTCATTTAATTTCTAAGAGCACAGGAATCAACTCACTAACATTGCCAGCAAGAATTTGTAGGCATTTACTTTTTTAAATGAATGTTTGCCTAAAAATAAAAAGACCTGCCTGTGAAGGAAGTGCAAACTTCCTTGAGAAGCAGTGGTTATCTCTATTTGCATTTGAAAAATCATTAAAAAAAAAAAATCTTAAAAGCTGATGAGTGCATCACCTCTCAACATACACAGTAATTGCTAGTTCTTCTAAAAGTGTGATTTGATGACACCAGAGCCTCCAAGTTTTGCTTTAAATCACTTTGAATAAAGAACTACACTTTTTTTGCCTTGGTATTTCCCTTCTTAAAACAGAAAAAGAAAACTTAATTCCTACCTGACACAGACAACATAAGGAAGAATTTACTGTTTGTGGACTGCTTTGAGATTCCAGAACGAAATACATAATCCAGTTGATCTTCAATCCTACAATAAAGGCAAACTTCACTAAACACTGAAGGCTTCAGCAGATGCCTTCAAAATAAGATACTATACCACTACTTATGGAAAGATGAGTTTTATGTAAGCCAAATCTTGAACACAATGCAATGGAGGAAAAAAATTACAAAACTGTTTAGAAAGTTCTTTTGCTCAATTAAAAAATTTAATACTTCTCACGTATGTGTCCTGTAAACACACTAATTCTACAGGCAGCAGAAATTGTATGCATTTATTAGAGAACAGAGACTCTCAGGAAAATTATGCTATCAACTGCAATACCAAATGTATAAAACAAATTAATAATACATTTTATAAAAGAAATTCTGTTAAATTTCATTTAAGATAAGTTATTGGACAGCTACACCTAATGGAGGACAACTAAATTTCCAAAGAGGACAAGTAAATTTCCAAATTTTAAGTGTATGTTTGTAGGACAAGTCTTAACCCGTTATAGTTTCATAAAGGCTGTACACAAGTTGCTTTTCCAGGTATGTCAGGTAAACATAATTCTTAAAAATTAAAGCTTTAATCAATAAGTGTAACTGATTTAGTCCTACTGTCACTCTTTTGATGATACTTCCAACCAGTAAAGAAAAGGAATATTATTAAACTGGAAGATGAATTAGAAACACTGAGTGGATGCCTAGCTGAGGCAGAAAGCAGTTAAGGACTAGAAGGGTATGTCAGAAAGAAGTCTTCAGAGATTTAATAAAAAGTAAAACAAAAGGAATGAAGTTAAGAGGCTTGACTTACAAACAGGGAGGAGAGGGAAGAGTTTTAGAGGGGTAAAAATTAAAATTAGAGCCCCACTGGGTCCAGGATGGAAAAAGACGGGAGGACAGGGGCCATTAGACAGAAAGCAATGAAGCAGGGTACCACAGGAAAGCGAAGGGAGTGAGGGTTTCCGAAGGTAAGATGGGGCAAAGCGATGCTAAAGCAAAAATTTTGCAACTAACAAAAACGGAACCAGGAGGAAATACCAAAAGGAGGTGAATGAGAGGAAGATAAAGCCAAGGAAGAAATTATGGAAGTAACAAGAGTGAGAAACCTAGTCGGCCAGAGTAAGGAGCTCCGGACAGGGAAAAGCCAGTCCACGGAGGGTAGCACAGAGATACGCTGCTTCCCAACGTGGGACCACCAGGGCGAAAAGGCACGTGGGAGGCAAGGGATGAAAATGCAGAACTACGAAAGCTGGTAAAGGAGGGACAGAGTGACGAAGATTGAGCAGGGGTGAAGGGCAGGCGAAGGCTCGCCAGCCGCGAGGTTCAGGAAGAGCGGGTCGAGGGACGCGCGCAGGGGCAGGGGCGGCAGCGGGCACCGGGAGAGCAGCGCGCCGAGGCCCCTAGCTTCCTTCAGAGCGCTCGGCACCGCCGTCCCCACCGACCTTCAGCGGGGCCGGGGCCAGGCTCCGACAGCCAGCAGTCGGGTGAGGGGCCGCAGCTGGCAGGCGGCGGACGAGGAGGAGGCCGCTTCCTGCCGGGCCCCTGGGAAAGAGGGACAGAGGGAGGGGTCGTGGGTGGGTGTCGGGAGCTGCGGGAGCTGAGGGGACAGTTAGGGGGTTACCTCTCGCCCTGCTCGGCCTCTTCCCCTGCCTGTCGGACCGAGAAGCTCGTTGTCCAGCTGGAAGATGACGACCCTACCCGGGCCAGCACCATCCCGCCCCGGGCCCCCTCACATCGCCATCACAGCAACCGCAAACACCGCAACGGCGGAGCCGGTTCGTCACCGCCGCTCGGCTACTGGCCCAGCGCGGCCAGCGAGCATGCGCAGTCACCCCAGTCCCGAGGGAGCCCGGGCCAGCCGGCGATACCTGCGATCAACAGGTCCCCGGCCGAGCGGCCCCGCCCCCGGCCTCTCTCACCTCCTCCTCCCGCCTCTTCCCTCCCCTCTCTAAGGCTAAGCCCCGCCCCTTCAAGCTCCGTGCCCCGCCCTTCAGGAGCTTCAGTGGCCCCTCCAGCTCCAGCGGTAACTGAGATTTAGAGAGATTTGTCTGCCCTACCCGGCTCCCGTTCCCAAGTTCCCGCGAGAACGGGAGGCTTGCGTCAATAAAAAGCGCGCGTCCAAGAAAAGGGGCTCGGCTGTGGGTTTAAGGGATGGAGCTTGGAGGTGGACAAAGAGTAGGGAGCAAGAAGAGGGCAAAAAGAAGGAGTTCCAAAACTTTAGCTGTTTTTCTCATAATGCTCTTTCTCCTTTTCTCTCTTTAGCTCCTCCGTGCAGTCCCCGGTAGAAAGCCCGGTTCCTGCGCTAGTCGATTTGTGCATTAGGAAAGGCGGCTGCAGGGATTCTGCGCTGAGGCGGGACAGCTGCCTTTCGGGACCTAGTCCTTGCATCTTGGGTGGTGTGGGTGCTGATCTGGTTGTTTCTCGGTTTATGAAGCCCAAAAGGCCGGGAGGGGGCTGATGAAGTGAACCCTTTCGCTGTTATATTCCATTAACAGAAGTCCACGAAAGATAGTAGTTCATCGATTTATTTCACTCTTCCCTGTTTCTGAACCTTATCCGGCAGAAACTTTTGTGGTGGATAAAGTTCAGTATGTTGCTAAAGCTGAGTTAATGAAAAGAAAATCTTGGCTACGATTCTTGTGTTGAAAAAGAATCTAGGATCGATAGTGGTGTTGGTTGCACAACAATGAATGGACTTAATGCTACTGAACTGTGCACTTAAAAATGGTTAAAATGGTAAATTTTATGTTATGTATATTTTACCACAATAAGAATGAATTAGAAGGAGAAAGCTTTGTGCATTCATTTGGAAGTAATGGTGCTGTCTTGTAACCTAGGCCATTTGGGGGACATGTTTTGAATATATACTTTAACCACTGCTTTTTGTCTTTGTACCGGTTTTTTTGTTGTTGTTTTGAGACAGTGTTGCTCTATTGCCCAGGCTGGAGTGCAGTGGCCTGATCTCGGCTCCCTGCAACCTCTGCCTCCAGGGTTCAAGCGATTCTGGTGTCTCTGCCTACCGAGTAGCTGGGATTACAGGTTCCTGCCATCACGCCCAGCTAATTTTTGTATTTTTAGTAGATACGGGGTTTCGCGATGTTGGCCAGGCTGATCTCGAACACTTGACCTCAAGTGATCTGCCTGCCTCGGCCTCCCAAAGTCCCGGGATTACAGGGGTGAGCCACCGCACCCAGGTAAATTTGCTTATTTCTTTAAGAGATTATTTTATGTTCTTCTGTCAATAGATACTTACCAGGAAGTCTTCCCTAAATCTCTAGGTTAGTTGAGTGCACCTCTTCTGGGTTCCCAGACAACCCTGTACCTACTCCAATTTTAACTCTTTAATAGAACTTTTTTTTTCCTCCTGTCTACCCCTACTAGATTGCAAACTGAGAGTTTAGAGTGACCCTTAACCTTCATTATATCCCTCAGTAACTAGCACAGTATTTGGCAAACATAAGCAATAAAAATATATGTATAATGGTTGAGCTGATTTGACTTTTTTTAGAAGGCGCGCCATGATGCTTGTCAACTTGTGCAGCCTCACTTCCCCAACCAGTGGCACAAAAGTCTTGGTTTTAGTTCAGCACAAAGACCAGTTTCTTACTGTATAGCCTTTGTTCAAGCAATCTTTTTCCCTTTACTCCTCCCAACCGCCACCACAAGATACTCCACTTCAACTCTCTGGAATTGTTTTCTCCGAAAAGTTTTTCCTGACTCATGACCTCTTCCCAAAGTTGGATTCATGCTTCTTCTGAGCTCCAGTAGCTCCCTGTGCATTTATCTCTGCACTATACACATTACATTATAGGGTAACAATGCAAACACTCCACCCAAGTTATTTTTCATTCATGTTGGTGTCTTCCAAGATTAGCACACTGCCTGGCACATAGCAGATGAGTCAAGAATGTGATTTGAATAAAAAGAACAAGGAACAGAGAAAGAATCTTGGCACACTGTGTGTTTTAGGGATGCGTGGATGTGGAAATGCAAATAGTTGGTTGTTTACTATATTCTCCTAAGACACAGCTGGAACTTAAAAGCACAAAAAGAGATCACGCCACTGCACTCCAGCCTGGGCAACAGAGTGAGACTCCATCTCAAAAAAAAAAGTAAGAAATAAGAAAATTTATGGCATCTACTGAGGTACAGATACTAGAGAGTATAGCACACACTGATATAATTGTCAGATTACCTGTGTTCTAATTCTAGAGTCTACAGTATAGTGTGTTATCTTGAGAGTCTCTTACCTTCTCTAGGTCTATTTTCTCTCACATGTAAAAAGATAATCACATTATCTAGAATTCGAATTCCTTTAGAAGTTTCTCTAGAAATTTCCTGATTCTAAATTTCCCGAATTTATCTTCCGAGGTTTTGTGTCACCCATTATGCTGCTAATAAACAGTTAGTGTCACATTTACAAGAACGGAAGGCCAAACACCGCATGTTCTCACTCATAGGTGGGTGTTGAACAATAAGAACACGTAGACTTGGAGAGGAACATCATGTACTGGGGGCAGTTGGGGGGACTTAGGGGAGAGACAGCAGGGGGTGGGGAGGGATAACTTGGGGAGAAATGCCAGATATAGTATGCACCTAAAGTTAAATAAATAAATTTCTTAAAAATAAAATTTTTAAATAAACAGTTTATGTCACATTTAATGTACATTAAAATGTTATATGTGTCCTTTTCAATCTATGTTGTGCTCAAGGAATGCAAGATTTGGAATCCTTTCTATCTTGTAATTGGTTTACATAATTTAACTTTAGCATGGAGTGTTTTTGAATGTTTGCTAAACCCTTTTAACTGGAGTATTCTCTTAATCCAAAGATCAGGTTATCTCTTCCTTTCTCGGTTGCACAACATTGATTCAGCTAGAGATTGAGACAGTAGAAGAAATGAATATTGTAAATTTGAAAATAGCCTCATGAAGGATGTCTCATATTTGTCATTTGATAAACATTAATTTACTAAAAAAAAAAAAAAGCTTTCTTTTTCCTCACTGGGCTTTATGATTTTAAAAATATTCCTGTTGTAAGTGTGGTCATTATTTGAAAATTATAAATGAGATATAGTCAAAGTTATTCCACAACTTTTTTCAACAATGTGATTATTTTAGGCATTTCATACAGGGAATTCTGAATTCTTTTGGAATTAGAGTATTCTGTAATATATAAAGTATGATAAGTATTAATAAAGTATTAAACCTCCTTCTAGGGCTTTCACTCTTGTCTCCAAAGTATAGATTTTATCATTTGCAGATACTTGGGTGAGTGCCCACAGTACTCAAGGATAAGTTTTTTTGGAGGTTATATTACTTTAACAACAAATATAAGATGAAGCAGAACAAAATTTCATTATAGGACTTCGTTTATGGGTTAGTAACAGCTACAAACCAGAACGGCAAATGTATTACTTCATAACACAGTGTTGTAATATTTCATGATTTTAATTGTTTGTTTATTTTGAGACAGAGTCTCACTCTTTCGCCAGGCTGGAGTGCAGTGGCACCATCTCGGCTCACTGAAATCTCCACCTTCCAGGTTCAAGTGATTCTCCTGCCTCAGCCTCCCTAGTAGCTGGGATTACAGGTATGCACCACTACACCAAGCTAATTTTTGTGGTTTTTGTAGAGACAGGTTTCACCATGCTAGGCAGGATGGTCTTGATCTCCTGATCCACTCACTTTGACCTCTGAAACTGCTGGGATTACAGGTGTAAGCCACCACGCCTGGTCTATTTCATGATTTAATAGCTGTGTGGCCTTTCTGGACAAACCATGATATAAAACTCAGTTACCAAGTTTTCCTTTCTTGTAGTGGCAATCCTTCAGTTAAAAAAAAATAAAGTTTTCTCTCTTATTTACAAAAAAGTAGTTTTTGTTGGTTGCAACTCAGGTTACCTAGGTTTCCAAAAGACAGTGTGTCTGCTTGGATCATTGGAGTCAGTCTGTCAGACAGAAAACATTCCTTCCACCAGCAACCCGCTGAATCATTCCCATGAAGTATGATTAACTAGTATCAAGTGACAGCAATGAAATGGTTTCTGAATTATTCTCTTCTTTATATGCCTGAAGCTTACTGTGTTTTTTTTTTTTTAAAAATGTAATATTTATACTAATTATCATTTGCTCTTTGACAGGAAACACGTTAGGGCAACTCTCTCACTCTTCCTATGACTCATGCATTTACATCTTGAGTCTTGATTTTTAAGCCAATTCTAGCCACATATCTTCTGCTTCATATCAGGCTGTATCACTTTTCCTGTTATCCTGCTATAACTTTTTATTCAATGTATCCCAAACTCATCCTGCCTTCCTTCACACACAGATCTATCTCTCAGTCAAGCTTCTGGTTTCTGTCAATACCCCTTCCCTTCCCATTTACTAAGCCCAGAACCTCACAGCCATATATATTTTTATATATATATATATATATATATATATATATATATATATATATATATATCTTTTTCTTTGTTTTCTTTGTTTTTTTCATTTCTTATCTTTTAAAATCATTATATATGTGTGTGTGTAAACATAACACAAACACACACACACACACACACACACACATATATATATATATTATTTTTTTGTGACAGGATCTCACTCTATCACCCAGGCTGGGGTGCAATGGTGTGATCTTGGCTCACTACAACCTCTGCCTCCCAGGCTCAAGCAATCCTCCCTTCTCAGCCACCCAAGTAGCTGCAGCTATAGGCTTGCACCACCATGCCCGGCTAATTTTTGTATTTTTAGTAGAGATGGTTTCGCCATGTTGCCCAGGCTGGTCTTGAACTCCTGAGCTCAGATGATCTGCCTGCCTTAGCCTCCTAAAGTGCTGGGGTTACAGGCATGAGCCACTGTGCCAGCCCATATATATATATATATATTTAAATTTCA